CCCACGCTGGCCCCCTGCCCGGCCGCCTCCCCCATCTCCAGGGAAAGCCAGGCGCCAGCGGCCAGTCGTGGGGCGCATTCTTGGGGACTGGCATCCCTCACCGGGAGGGAGGCGACAGGACCGCGGAGGAAGCGCAGGGCTGGGGCCGCGTTCCCGGAGCCCCGCTCAGCCGCCCCCAAACCACAGAAAGTTTTCCTCCCTGCGTTTGTCCCCTCGCCCTGGGACTGACCCTGCGCCGCCAGGATTGCAACCAAAACCCGAACACCCTGGCTGGGCCCGCGCAGGGTCTTGTTTGCTGGCCCCTTAGGGCCGCCCCCACCTTTCCCCGAAGCGCCTGGGCCTCTGCCCCGTGCCTTCCTACTGCTGTCCCTGCCCCCTCCTACCTCTGCCCTCTCCTGCCTCTGCTCCCTCCTGTCCCTGCGCCCCTTCACCGCCTCAGGAAATCCTTCCCAGAAACCTGGCTCCCGGACTCCAGGTCCGGCACCTTCTGCCCACCCCCAGCCTCCTGGTGCCGGCCACTCACCTACCTGCGCTTTGGGCCCTGGCTGCACCAGGGTGAGGAAGTCGCACCCTGCAGCTCCTCGGCCTCCCCTGCCTGCAGGGCCTCCTTGGGACCTCAGTTTCCCCTTGTAAATGGAGGAGTGACGGGTGACCCGCGCTTGGGTTTGGCATGCAGTAAGCGTCTAGTGTGTGCAGAGGCTTTATCAGGTTCTTGATCAGGAGTGAAGGCTCCCGCTGGGGGAGGACAGCCCTGCATGGAGCAGACACACAGGGTGCCAGGGTCCTGGCACCAGGAGGGCTGCCTGAGGGGTGTGTCCACTCAGTGGGACTGAGGACAGACAGCGCGAGGCTGAGGGTTGGTGGGGGCGAGCAGTGCACCCAGGGAACCCTCTGGGGCACAGGGACCCGCAAGTAGCGGCACCTCAGGCAGGCACAGGTGGTGGCTGGGCAGAGGCAGGTGGGCAGCACCGGGGCTGCCAGGGGACAGTGGGCTTTGGAAGTGGGGAAGGGAGTCCTGGGCTCCTGGGGCTGAGCGGGAAGGGTGAGGAGCGGGGTGCCAGCGGGGCAGGTCAACACGGGATCCGACACAGAGGCCCAGGCTGCGGCTGGACAAGCAGCAACCTGTGGGAAGAAGTGGCTCCCAGGCTGCCGTCCCTTCCTGAAAGGCCCCGAGGCCGGAGAGGGCTGGGGGCTGGCGCGTGCACCCAGACCTCGGCGTCCGAGTTCTCCCTGGAGCCCGCGTGGGCGGCTGAGGTGGGCAGGTGGGACTCTGCAGGCCTCCCCTCCACCGTGTCCCCTGGTGACCAGCCACCCTCTGCCTCAGTGTCCTCGTCTGTCCAGCGGGCGGCCCCTCCGGCACGGATGTATCTCTCCTCCTGCCCACTCCTGGCCATAGGCACCCTTGGGGACAGCACCCTGGGCCTTCATGTCCTCATACGTACAGACTGACGGTCACCTTGGTACCGAGGAGCGTGGGCCCTGCCCTGAGTCTGGGGGGCACATTGGCCCGGGGGGCGGGGCCAGGCCAGCAGCCGTGTCCACCAGTGCTGCCAGGCTCCGGGGTGGGCTCTCGCTGGCCACGGTGACCAGGCCCTGTTCGGCTGCCCCTTGAGTGGCCCAGACACCCAGGGAGGCTAAAGGCCCTGGAGGCTCCGAGGTCCAGGAGCTGGCAGCCGAGGGGCGGGTGCTGCGCTGCCCTGGGGTCCCTCCTGGGCGCCCTCGGCCTCTCCTGCCCTGGTCCCTTCTGGCTTCCAGGTGGGGGGAGTCCCCAGGGTCCCCACTGAGTCCCGGGCTCCGAAGGATGCGGAGACCCTGTGGCTACAGTCAGCACTGGGAGGGGCACCCAGTGTGTCCTCAGGCCCGAGGAGACCGGCTGCGGGTGACACAGCAGCGCTTGTGCGCCAGCTCTGGCTCATAATCGCCCTTTCATGCTCCCTGGACCGCGTGGGCGCACAAAGCCGCTCCACCATCGCGTGACCCGGCGCCTGGGTGGGACGGGTGCCCGTTGCTCCTCACGCACAGCACAGGAGACCCCAGTGGTGGCCGAGGGCTCGCCTAGTTCCACACGTGGGACACCCCAGCTGGGAGCCTTGGGGGCTCTGCTCCCTGGAGTCTGTCCCCTGAGGGGGATGGGACCCACCTCCTGCTGCAGCTGGGCGGCTGCTTGCTCTTAAAGAACCAGGTGGGGACCAGGATGGGCACGGTGCTCAGGCTCTTTCTGTCCACCGGCCTGTTCCCCGCCGGCTGGGAGCACGTGTGACTGCGGTCTGACTGTGTGCTCTGTCTCTGCAGCCTGGCTGTGTGTGTGGGGGATGCAATTCTGCTCGTGTGGTCTAGGCGAGGAGGGTGTGGTCTGCGGCCGTGAGGGCCTGTGGGCTGACTGTGTGCTGCTGGGCGTCCGCACCTATGTCACCTGCCTACCTGTGGCCCGCGGAGTCCTTTGGCCAAGCGTCTGGCTGTGTGTTCCTGTGCAGCTGATGTGATTGGGTCTTTGGTCTCACTGTGCGCACAGTGGGCAGGTGGCCTGCCTCAGGGTGACCTTGCATGGGAACCTCGTCTGACTTGGTATGGCTGAGGTCTGACTTTGTGCACATTGGCATTTGTGGTCTGACTGTGTGCAAGTGTATCGGGCTGGGTGTCATGTCCCCACCTGTCACCTATGTCACCTGGATGCACGTGTTTGTCTGCCATCTCATTGTCTACTGTCCTTGTGTGCCTGTGGCCTGACTGCGTGCATGGCAGTGACATCTGTGGCGCAGTGTGCGTGTGCTGAACGCCCCAGCCGTCCTGTCCCACCCTGGCTTCTCCATTCCACTCCCTGGCCGTGACCCGGCCACTGTGGGCCAGCCTTCCCCTGGGACCGCCCCAGGGCCGGCCAAGGTGACCGCAGCAGGGTATTTTGGGAGCCGAATCATAGGGCTGCTCGGTCATTACGTGGCCCTGGTTCCTGTGCCACGGCCTGGACCCGCCCAGGGCCTGGCCTGGGGGTGGGTGCGGGGTGCATGGCCACGAGGGCCGCCCGAGCCTCTCCAGGCCTCTCCCTGACCCTGGCCAGAGTGGACACAGGTGGGAGTGGCAGAGCGCGCTCCGGGGCTGGCGGGTGGAGAGTGGCCCGCTGCCCTGCGAGGACAGGTCCCTGCAGGAGCAGCAGTGGCCTGGCACAGGTGGCCTTGGCCTGGGGCCGCAGAGGGCTTCCCGGGCCTCACGCAGGGCCCTGGTGAGGTGGGTGGACGGGCCGAGTCCTGGGCCGAGCCGAGGCCCTGCAGGTTGGGCGTCCAAGATGAGGGCGTTGTCCCGACCAAGTGTGCTGTGACGGTCCCCGAGCTGCTCCCTCACGGCCCCTCTGTTGTCTCCACAGACGCTGCCCGGCTGACGCTCGGCTGGAGGCCGCTCTCTGAGGGACCAGGCCGTCCCTGCCCTGGGCAGAGGGCCGAGGTCGCTGCCCAGCATGGCGCCCACCTGGGGTCCCGGCCCGTCTGTGGTGGCCGCCACAGGGCTCCTGCTGGTGCTGCTGGCCGGAGGCTGCGCGGCCGAAGGTAAGAGGCTGCCCTGGAGCGGGCCGGGCGCGGGGAGGGGTCTGCGCTGTGCTGCCTGGACTCACGGGACAGTGATCACAGCCTGCCGGCTGGCAGGTGACAGGGACATTCGGTTCCCTGCGTCTTCTGAGCCTCAGGAGACCCTTTGTGACCCTGGAGGAAAAGCGGCCCCCGGGGCGGTGGCGCTAAGCTGAGGTCACCCTGAGGAGCCCTGGCATCCGCCCGTGCCCAGCGGCCAGAGGAGCGGGGAGGCTCCCGGGAGAGGCCGTGGGCAGGAGCTGGGCACGCGGGCAGCGCCTGCTGACAGGACCGGGGACTGCCAGGGACAGGCTGCGGAGGGGCCGGTGTGGCTCGGGGACGGCAGGGCCGGTGTCCAGCTGTTACGGGGGCGCGGTGGGCTTTAGGCCCGTGCGGGCTGTCGGGGCCCGGGGGCGGGATCTCTGACGTGCGGGGCCAGGGCAGGACCCTTGGGAAGGGGCCGAGGCTCTGGGTTCGGCTGAGTTTGAACGAGCTCTTCTGTCGCTCGGCCTGGTGGCCTCTGGCCGGTGACTCAGCCCCTCACCTCCCACTTAGGCTCCATCGGGAGGGCTCCCTGCATCACCCGGTGCCGCATGGTGAGCCCTGCCTACCTCCAAGCGCACAGTAGGCCCGCCGTGCTGGCCCACCCGGCCGAAGCCCAGTGTTCTGGGTGACACTGGGGACCCGCTCAGCTCAGCCTCCATCCCTGCACCGATGGGGAGACCGAGGCCCCGCGAGGTCTGGTCATGGCCAGGCCGCGGCGGCCAGAACGTAGTCCCTGAGGACTGTCGGCCACAGTGGCCTGGTCACCAGGAGCTGGGCGCTCCCCGGGTCGGCGGGGAGTCGGGCTGCGTTGCTGGACCCCTGGCGTGCGAGTGCTGCAGGCAGCTGGCGCTGGTGTCCCCGCCGGGTCTTGAGCGTGTGCCCGGGGCTGTTCGAGGCGAGGGCCCAGGTGAACCTGGTACCCCTCCTGGCGGAAGCCTGGTGACGAGGCTGGGTGAGGCCGAGGGGTGGCTGGGGAAGACCCCAGGGAGGAGGTGGGGCCGAGGAGCCGAGGGGTGTGCCTCTGGGCACCTGGAGGAGCGGAGCCCAGGCAGAGGGCACAGCCTGACGAGGCCCTGGGCAGGGGCAGGCCTGGCCTCGGGCGGGAGGAGCCGAGTGGCTGCAGCAGGGCAGAGGGCTGGGGGCCACAGGGCCCGGAAGGACTTGGCCTTGACCCTGGGGGCGGGGCCGTGGGGGCGAGGGGCGTGGCACTAGTGCTCTCAGGCTCCTCTGGCCGCTGCAGGGAGGACGGGCTGGGGCGGCCCCTGTCCAGGTGAGGGAGGGAGGTGCGCCCCAGGTCACCAGCACCTGTCGCATCTTGGACGGCCCTCGGGGCTGCTGCCGTCCTGAACTCCAGCCCAGCCCAGAGCCCTGGACCAGGAGTGGGCTGCTCAGTAGGGGCCCAGCAGGGACCGTGGCCGACCCGCCTGGCAGCATCAGGAAGTGGCTGGGGGGTCCCTGGGGGCCTGTGGGGCAGGGCTGCGCAGCTGCTGTGTTCCCAGGGGCCAAGGGAGGGGTCTCTTCAGTGGGAAAGGCCCCTGGCCCGGGCCTTCCCAGGATGCCGCGGGCCAGTCCTGGGGGAGGCAGGGTGGGTCACCCGCTCTCACACCAGAGTATTTTCTGCAGAATCCGAAATGGAAAAACAGAAATCAGGCCAAGCCAGGCCACCGAGGGGCCCCTGCCCAGCCTCCAGAGAGGCCTGGTTTCCTCCCCAGGCCCTGCACTTACTGGAACCCTCCTGTGGACTTCGGCCTCTTTGTCCAGGAGACAGGGATGCCCCCGCGGCGAAGCGGCGAAGCCCCTTTCACCCAGCAAGCCCCTTCCTGCGGCTCAGGAGCCGGTGGCGAGCTGTGACCCAGGGCGGGCCCTCTCCCCCAGGCTCCCCAGGCCTGGCCCCTGTGCCCACAGGAGGTGGGTGGGCCCAGGAGAGATTCCAAGAATCCAGGGGAACCTCTTCAGCCGGTCGCGGTGGGCGGGGCCAGCTCTCCAGGGCTGGCCTGGTGCCTGGAGCCCAGAGGTGGACTGGGAAGGGCATCTGCTCAGCAGGGGGCCTGAGGCCGCAGGGCCCACTGCCTAGATGAGGGCAGCAGGGCCAGGGTCACGGGCAGAGAAGTCCCTCCCAGCCGACAGCAACCCGGCAGCTCCCCAGGGCAGTGCTGGCCGCTGCAGGCCGCGGGAGGGGCTGCCAGATGAGGCCGAGGGCCAGGGAAGGGCAGCCCAGACAAGGGCCGTGTCCCCCCAGGCTCTGTTGGAGGGTGCAGGGCGTGTCCTGGCTCTGGCCACACCGGCCGCTGGGCACACTAACGGCCCCTCTTCCAGCCTCACCCACTGTGGCGACTCTCCCTGTGCTCTTGAGTAAGGACACGTGACTCCGGGTCACCATCCTGAGGGAAGAAGGAAGGGCCCAGGCAGGCATCCAGGGAGGGACATGGAGCAGAACATCTGTCCTGATCAGGCTCGAGGCCGGGACCCGACAGGAACCCGAGATGTGGGCTCAGGGACGGAGACCCAGGGTCAAGTCCCAGTGTTTCCCATCTGAGCTCTGACCTCTGCAAGTCCCTAGCACCCTCAGGTCTGTCCAGTGGGATCCACAATCACTGGGCCAGAAGGACACACAGGAAATGAGGCTGCAGGTGCCTGTACACTGGAGTCTACTGCTTTTCCAGAGACATGGCTAGCGTAGACACAGAGGTCATACCAACAGGAGCACGGTGTTGGGTGAAGGAGGTGAGACTGGCCCTGCTGAAGCCATAGATGGCAGGAGTTGGGCCTGTGGAGACCCAGAGTTGGAACCTGCAACCTTCTTGAGCTTCTCTGTATTTCTGAAACTTCCCAGAACTTTCTGGAAGGACTTGTGTGGCCCCTGGACTCACTCCACCCAGTCGGGTGAGCTCAGCCCTGGTGCCGCTGCAGCGTGGGGGTCCAGCCTGTGTCCTCCACCCGGACTTGACTTACTGAAGACCTTTCCTTGTTTATTTATTTATTTATCGACGGGGCACAACATCTTTGTTGGTGTGTGGTGCTGAGGATCGAACCCGGGATGCACACATGCGCGCTACCGCTTGAGCCACATCCCAGCCCCTCCTTTTTTCTTAAATCAGTTCGTTTTAAAGACAGTTCATCTTTAATTAGTGCTGAATCCTGGAAAGGCACCAAGATATGTCCCCCACCCCGTCCAGCGGCTGACCCTGTGTATACGTGTGCACACACACACACCCGCTGGCCACCCCTCCTTGCCCTTCTCTGTCTCCTGTTTGCTAGCGGATCTCACCCTGCCCTGCTGGGCCCTGGAAGCCCGACCCCTCCTCAGTCCCCTTTGGTTGGACAGCAGCGTGGCTCCTGAGGGACTTCTCCTGAGCAGGGGGAGACTCGGTCGCTGTAGCTGGGCATGGAGTGACTGAGAGGTCAGGACAAAACCAGTCACTTCAGAGAAAGAGCGTTGCACCTGGTGGGGGGTGGGGGGCCTCCGCAGATCTGGCCGGGCACAGTCCAGATGGCCGTGGTCCAGGCGGGGGCTTGGATGGCTCTGGCTCTCCAGCTGGAGTTGCTGGGGAGCTAACCTGGGGGTCCTGGGGTGCGGATGGGGCCTACAGCCGAGGCGGCGTGGCCGACCAGGGCTGTGCCTGGCCTCTGTGCAGGCTGGGGTTGGGGAGGCCTGGGCCTCGCCGCCCTCCTCCGGCTCTGAGCCTCCCTGGGCTCCAGGCTCCAGTGCTGGCTGCGGCCCGGGTCCCTGCCTGCTGCCTCTGTCTCCCGCGGCCCCGCTCCAGATCAGCACGGGACCCCCTTCTGGGTCTTGTCAAGGCCCCTCGGGGTTCAGCTGCCCACCCGGGGCCTCCTGGTGCCCTCAGGAGCTGTGGTGGGTGGGAAGGTGCTCGGGCGTG